TAAGATATATATATATATATATATATATATATATATATATATATATATATATATATATATATATTATTAGGTTTTGTATTTTCAAATAAAACCTAATATGATTTCAAAGTTTATTTAGGCTCCAAATGAATTGTGGTTTTAACTTTTACAGAAAAAATAAATAAATATAATCCATAAATGAAAGTTGAATACATTGAATCAGGTTGCAAAAATATTATTTCATTTTTTATTCAGATATCATACCACTAATGGCTTTTATTTGATGTTGACTTGAATTATTTTATTTTCTTGTGTACATGATCTTTGTAATATCTGTTACTAATGAAAGAGTTATTTGAAGCTTTGTATGCGGCCACATCAGAAATAACAAAATCTTGAAAGTAAAATTGGATAAAGGAATTGAAATTGAAATATGAAAAACTTGGTCTTGACAAGTCGGTCAAGTCGTTAACAATATGAAAAATTGGAAGGATATTTTAGAAAAATTGGTCTAGATGATAATGATAACAATTTGGTATTGGAGTGGTGAAAATTAATACGGGAGGGTGGCGTATTACGATTTGTATAGAAACTTTCTTCACAAAACCTTGAAAATGAAATTGGATGAAGGAATTGAAACTGTAGATGTCTTAGAGCGTCAAGAGATAAACTGACTTGGCGACACCACATGTAAAGTTCTATGAAGTCAATGGAAACATTTACAACCAAATCAGCTATGTTATACCAATAATAAAGATAAAAGGCAAAGTTTTCTCATTAAAGATAATGGATACTCTTAATATATATGAAGGAAGCTAAGTAGCTTTCACAAGACTCATAGAAAGGTAGGAACAAACATTTGAAAACAACTCTGAGGAGGTTGGGACATTGTTGTAATGCTACCATTTTCTAGCTTAAACACTTTCATCTGATCTTCCTCGGCATCTTTGAAGTATATAGAATTCTGGAGACATCCGTAATACTCCTGAGCCAAAACCGAGAAAGAAGTATCGGTAGCCATCACAAATGCATTGTCTCCCAAGGACTGGACCTCAATCATTTTTCCCAATTCTTCATCAAACTTATAAATCTTAAAATCAGTTGTTTTAGGATTCGGAACATAGACGTAAGGTTTTCTCTCACGAAGGCGGTCGACAATGTAAAGCTCTCCGCGGCATTCAACAAAGCTCTTGTCTTCGGGAAGGCTGATGTTATCACCGAGTGGAAGCCCGACGTACATACATATTTCAAGACCGGAACTGATCCACCAAACAGTGCCTCGTGTATCCAAGGCGTAAGTTAGTCCTTTGTGAACTATAATGTCAGAAAAATGATCACAGAAAAAAGTGTGATCAGTTTTCAGATCCATTTTTGTGAGTTTTCTCCAGTTATTTCCATCCCAATGCGTGATCTTCCCTTGGCGGCTGAGTCCAAGAATATTATTATGCTGAGCTTCTCCTTCCACAACTTTGACAAGCACCACTTTTCTGGATAAAAATGTATCTCTCGTGTGCCGGTCTTGAAGCTCATAAGTTTCTCCAATCTCAGAGAAAGTAAACTTCAGAAGATTAACGCCCGGAAGAAAATATCTCATTGGAAGGCGCGAGAACTGGTCGATGAGACGGAATTTTCTGGAGTTGATGTCCATGTCGGATTTGATAAGCCAGCCTTGGCTCGGGGAGGAGGAGAGAGCAACGCGGAAAAAGGCGGCACGTGACAGAAATAGGTTGACAAAGCCGAACCATTGGGTGAGATTGATCAAGATGAGAGGGCGGTTTGGGAAAAGATTGTTGTTGCCCGAAACGGAGGAGCGCCAAGATCTGCATATGCTTCTGAAACGTTGTAGTTCGACAACCGAGAACAACTGAACAGCGATCGAGAATAGGAGCTCCTCTGGTAAGTTAGACCAATCAGCCATTTCTCTCGTCTTTGTTTCGTTTTGGTTTTTTGCAAGTCAAATAATATTGGGAACGTTTTATAAACTTCTAAGTTGCTGTAAAATATTAGCAAATACGTTTTATTCATTTCTTATTCCATTGGCTTCTTACCATTAATAACTTTCTTGTATATCATTTGTCACACTTGGTATGAAATATTTTGTATGACTTTGACTAAATTTTTTTTCCTCTTTCGGAAACAAAAGATGAATTGATTTTCTTATACCAAAATGGACTTGATTTACATAAGGCCCAAGTGGTATGTTTTATAGAATCTTGAAATAACTGAATGATAACGAACTGAACATGCTTAAGATTTTCTAAACTAAATATAAGACGCTAAAAAGTTTGTGTTAGTAGCTAGATTAATTATGCGTTTCTAGGTATTTATTATCTTAACTCAATAGTGGTATATAGTGGAATCACTAAAAAATTAATATTTTGAATTGTAAATATAGCAGAATCATTTTTTCAAAATGTAGAAAAGTTAATGTTTTGTGACTTTATATAACTTTTGTGGAGTTTAACATTTTGTGCGATTTGGGTTAATTTTTAGGATATTTCAAAAATTTATTTGGTTTTTTCTAAAACCTTATCAATAAGAGAGTTATGGAGTCGATTGTGTGATAACACAGCTTTTTTTTTGTTCTCCATGCATTCAAGCAAATACGAGTCCAGCTAGATGGGCAATAATATGATCTTATTGTCCATGGTGACAATCCTATATACAATATGATATACCCGGGTGGTTATGTTTTTTTTCTTATTGTCACAATCTAGTCAGTGAAAATCATGATATCATTTCTTGTTCTTCCATTGTCAACTCAAGCTGAATTTATCATAAACATGTTAAACAACACTAAAGTGGGTACAAGAACTAGAACATGGTATGGAAACAGGGATAGAAAACGGCAAAATCAAAATTTATAGATATGGGTACGACATGTCTACTTCAATAAAAATATAAGAAATGATCCTAGAGTGAGAAATAATTAGAAAAAATAAAAGAAAAAGAAAGAGGGGAAAAGCCTTTAAGTTTTAGAAAAACGAAAAATGAAAATATTCATGTAACGCCCCGACCGCCATCTCTCTAGTGGGCCCCATGTTCACCACTAACCCATGGTCTCACCTCTCTTAATGGGCCTCACGTCCTCTCACTAGGCTCATGAGCCCATTAATATCCGACGGTCGGTTAATTACGTCTGGGAGGCTTAAAAACTTGTTTACCGACCCTAAAAATCACCACATGATCTTTCCCTGTGTTTTAGCCTCACTCACACAGTTTCAACAACCACTTCCCGGAAGGTCACCCATCCTTTGACTACTCCAGCATAAAAACGCTTAACTGTGGAGTTCTCTCAAGACCTTTGACCGAAAAGATAAATGCACTTTGATGACATTGGTGGCCAAATCAATTCATTTAAGCCTCTCCGCAAAACGGTGTCTCACAATCCAACTCGTAAGAGTGCTAGGAATGAAATAAAACCGATGCAAATGTCAAAAATTCGTTGTTATTTTCCTCCAAACATCGAAGGGCATCCTTATAGAGTCCCTATAGAGTCGGCGTTTCCAAAAGGTACCGGAGACGGGGATGGTCACCACATAGAAGTACTCGTGCTGCATATGACTATTATAATACCCTTTGTCTATACCAAAAATGAGAGAGAAAGGAAGCTTTTTCATTTTTTATTAAGATGATTATCAAGAAAGTAAATTATCCTTAAGCAAGATTTAGAGAAAATTAGTAACAAACATTAGGAAACAACCTTGAGAAGACTCGTACATTGTCGTTTTTCTCTTTTAAGAAATCTCTCCAAAGAGGTGGTCCATAATGTAAATCTCTCCACAACACTCCACAAAGCTTTCATAGAGTCGATGTACACCTTGGTACAGAGAACATGCATTCAAACTGATACAGAATTTGCATTCTATATGCCATTTTCTAGAAAAAAAATCTTTGTTGGGACCTTTAAGAAATTAAGCAGTGCATAGTGGAACATATTTTCGAACATACTAGTGCAGAGTTCGACCTTAGTGATGTTTGCATAAGAAAAGAATTGATGAGATTTTGATGAAACAAGTATTAACTTACTGGATTGTACTGAAGACAATATTTCTCCATAACATCGCTTGAACAATCCACCTAGCTATTTTCAGGTCTAAACTCAAGAGACTATTTTCCTGAACAATGGTTTTTCCTGTTACTAACTCAGAGGAAGAATCCAGATTGCCTTATTCATGAATCCAGATTTTACTATATGCTTTACCACTAAAAAATGTGTATATATATTTTATCACCACCTATAAAAAATCTATATGAAAACATTTAACCAATTATATGTCTATTTACTTTCACTTTGACATAGTTTCTTTAACCACTAAAACTGTTTTTGGAATCGTTTATATGACCACTAAAACTATTTACTCAAAAAATATAATTAATGACAAACTAAGAAAAAATATAAATTTAATGTAAGACCATCTCCAATGTATTTTTTTTTATTTTTGCTTGTAAAATAGAGGAACTGTATTATAGAACTGTATTTCAACGGAAAATCCACCGAAAAGTGATCAAAACCACTTTGTCAAAAACAAGTTCCAACACTTGACTGAATCGCGTTTATGAAGAACCAATTAAGGTTGAGAAGTAGAAACAAAAAAATTAATCTTACATCATTAAAAAAATTATATAATTTTGTTAAAATGATATCAACTTGCTGGAATTGGTTTTATGATTTTTTAGGTAAAACACTTAAAATTATATTTTAAAAAAAATATATGAGAAATTTATATATTATAATATATATATATATATATATATATATTTAATTAATTTAAAGTTTTTAAAATTCATGTCAGTTTACATACGCAATATAAATATTCATAGACTTGAGAAATACAGATTTTATAAAACTGAAAATTTTAAAAAATAATTTTTGAGGTATCGAAAATTTAATTGCTTATACAAACTCTGCATCTGAAATAGATATTGAGAAACAAAAGAATTATCTCATAATCTCAAGTAGTTCCGAAGCAAATAAGAAAATGAAAAATATATATATGAAATAATATAAATAATAAAAATTTATACCTTGAAATTATATCAACTTTTATCTTTCATATGTATCTTTACCATATTATTTCAGAAAAGAGGTTGAACACTTATATATATATATATATATCATATCGATTTTTCTATCGCCAAAGTATGTTTATTATTATTTTAGTTATATTTCATAATTATGTGAAATACGTAGAACGATAAATATATTAATGTAAAAATTCAATATTTTTAAATCTAGACTTATCTTTACAAAAATATAAAACACTAAAACAATTATACAAAATAACATTATTTTAAACAGTTATTTTATGAATCATATGTAGCTTTAGTTATACTTCTTCAAAGCTAATATTTAGTTTTTGGTATTCTTCCTATATATATATATATATGTGTGTGTGTGTATGTATATTGGTATTATGTAAATATTTTATCTAATTATCTCCTCTTTCCTTTTGCATTTTTATCTCTTTGATTACGATTTTGATATATCTTGGGATTTGGTGAGAAAGTTTAAAATTTATAATAAGATGATAAAGATTTCTGATTTCAGCTTATTTTTCAGGAATACGGACTATTACTTGTTTTGAATTAATATATATATATATATATATATATTAACAAAGAAAATAATTTCTCAATAAATTTAGGTTAATAATAAATAAAAATTATGTTTAATAATTTTTTTAGTTCAGGAATAAATTTATTTTCTTAACTTATATCTAGATTTCAACTTTTACATTTTTTCAAAAATATTTTAATAAAATTAAAATTAACATGCGGCAATATATTATCTATCCAATTACCACGTGTCATGAACGAATTAATAAGATGTTATAAAAATGATCATCTTTTGGAGTTTAACGTGTCTTAGATTTAAGCTTCATGACTCGCACACAAGAGATGCATTTTTAACTAGAGAAAAGTGGTGCTTGTCAAACCTATTCCTCTTATTTTCCTCAGTCTCACCCAATGGTTCGGCCTTGTCAACATATTTCTCTCACATGCCTCCTTTTTCTGAGTCGCTCTCTCCTCCTCCCCGAGGCAGGGCTGACTTATCAAACCTGACTTGACCATCAACTCCAAGATATTCCATCACATCGAACCGTTGTCGCCTTCCAATGAGACATTTGCTTCCGAGTGTTGACCTTTTGGTGTTCACCGTCTCTGAAATTGAAGAAACTTATGACCTTCAAGAAAGGCACACGAGATATATATACATTTTTAACTAGATCCAGAAAAGAGGTGCATGTCAAAGTTAAGGAAGGAGAAGCTCACCACAATCCAATTCTCGGACTCAGCTTGAAGGGCGAGATCGCACACTAGGATAAAAACAAATGGAGAAGTATCACAGAAATAGATTTGAAAATTGATCACACTTTTTCTACAACGAATGTTGATTTTCAGATCCATATCTGTGACTATTCTCTATTTATTTATCCTAGTGCGTGATCTTCCCCTTGCGGGTGAGTTTGAGAATCTGGTTATGAAGAGGTTCTCCTACCTTAACTTTGACGAGCAACACTTTTCTAAATCCGATTAAAAATGCATATCTTATCTGTCAGCCTTGAAGCTCATAGCTTTCTCGAATCTCAGACACATGAACTCCAAAAGATCAACACTCCAAAGCAATTGTCTAATCGGAAGGCGTGAAGGCGGGTCGATGAGATGGAATTTCCCGGAGTTGATGTCCAAGTCGGATTTGATAAGCCAGCCCTGGCTCGGAGGGGAAGAGAGAGTGACGCTGAAAAATGCTGCACGTGAGAGAAACTGGCTGACAAGGCCGAACCATTGGCTGAGATTGAGGAAGATGAGAGGGCGGTTATGGAAAAGAGTGTTCTTGCCTGAAACGGAGGAGCGCCAAGATGCGTATATGCTTCAAAAACGTTTGAGCTCGACAACGGAGAACAATCAGACAAC